CAAGGCTAATGTCAGTCCGGTCCTCCAAACTTTCTCATAGGCCGACAGGTCTCGGGGCTGTAAAGGACACGTGCTGGCGGTCTCACGTGGCAACTTGTTTACCTAGAAGGTGGGGATTTTCCTTGACGACACTCCTACCCTGGGCTTCAGTCTTCGCAGGCGCAGTTAGCGTGCCTTGCGCACAAGCGTGGATGGAAGCGGTAGCAGCGTGGGCAAGGGATAACTGCTAGAAGGGTGTTGTGCAGAGACAGGGACGGGCCATCCCAGGCGTGACAACACCCCCACGCTGGTGCTACAGCCCACAGTCCCTGAGGTTCCAGAAGCTGGAAATTGTGAAAACGGTCTTCAGACTTTAGCACCGCTGGATGAAAACAGGAGTGAAGATGACTGCCTCCCGATTGGATGCTGTGGTTCCCGCCAGGGGCTTCTCACAACCTCAGAAAGGCTTGTTCGCCTACTGCCTACCTTCTCATAGATAAGAACCCAATATACTGATACGTGTCATATGCCCACAGTAACACACTAATTAGTGTGGGACCCACGTTTGAACCTAGGTCAACTCAATTCCCTGACACCAAAGAGAATTCCAGGATTTAAGGGATGCTAAAGCTTTAAAAAACAAGGAACTCATGCAATATTATTCAAAATGGTTGACTCTGGAGAACATTATGCTGAGTGAAAATATCCCAGTCACAAAGGGACAAATATTACATGATGCCACTGTTGTAGAATGGGACTGTCCTTGGGGTTGGGGAGAGACTGAGTAAGATGGGTTCAATGATGTGTGCTGCACTGAGGCGGAGGAGGGAGGGAACTGTTTAAAAGAGATATATAACTGGGTGTTTCTGTCATCACAGGAGACTAGAGCGAGGGCTGCATGGTGGAGGGGACCTGGGGGGGGTTTGTGGAACAATGAAAGAATCTTTTACTTTTCCATAATTTTTGACTCATGTACTTATAACTTGTTAGTCAAATTTGTGTCTTCTAGGTTGCAACACCCCCATGATACATCTTCAAGGATATGAACATGTACGGCCAAGCACAATCAATAAGAGTGCATCTAAATTCCAAAATCAATCTCCATAATAGTCTATGTGTTTCCTACTGCCAAATGGGCCCTTTAGAGTAGTGAGAGAAGATCTTCACCCTGAAACCCACAGCGTCCCTTTTCAGCAGGAAGTAGCTAAGAGAATACGCCATCCCCTTTTCCTTATGACTCAGGGTGAAGTCTCTCTCAGGGAGGAGTGATAGGGAATGGCAAAGGACACACTGACAAAGAAGATTAATGAGAACTGGCTTTGACAAGCACTGTGGCATTTGGACAAGAACAAACTGGGAGGAGGGTAGAGAGAATGGTGCAGCGGTGAATGAATGGAAACCCAAAATCTCTGTAAATGTTTATGAAAGTTAATAAAATATAATTATAGAAAAAAAAGGGATGCTAAAGCTAGAAGCTTTAACAGCTTTAGTTTGCTTGGCTCCACAATCAACACTCTTGGTACCAGACAGAAACTTAAAAGACGAATTGCACTGGGAAAGTCTGCTGTCAGGGACATCTCCAGAGTACTGAAGAACAAGGATGTCAGTCTGGAGACTAAGGTGCGCCTGATCCGAGCCATGGTCTTTACAAGTAACGTGCAATGCATTAGAAAGTTGGACAACGCCTAGGGATGATAGAAGGAGAACTGATGCCTTTCAGCTGTGGTGCTGGTGAAGAGTATTGAATATACCATGGACTGCTAAAAGAACAAATAGATTTGTCTTGCAGAGGGTGAAACCAGGCTGCTCCCTCCTTGGAGGAATGGATTCTGAAGCTTCATCTGACACACTTTGGGCATGTTGCAATGAGGGACCAGTCCTTGCAGAGGTGCATTATGCTTGGGAGGGTGGAGGGACACCACAGGAGGGGAAGACCCTTGATGAGATTGATTCAGTGACTGGGTTAATGGGGATAGGTGTGTCAGAGACAATAAAATTGACTCAGGATAGAGCAGGGTTCAGAGCTGTTGTACATAAGGTCACTATGAGATACAGACAACTCAATGACACATAACAACAAAGCTAGAAGGGATTCGGTAGATAAAGACCTGAAAGGTATCTGATAGGTAGTAAATTCTCAAATGGTGGGTGTTATAATATTAACTGTATACCTCATTTAGGTCATTCCTTGGAGAGAGACATCACAATTGAGAAGGTGAAGGGGTAGTGAAAGAGGAAGACCCTCGACCAAGTGGGTTGCCACGGTAACTGCAGCAATGAGCTTGAGTGTGTCAGAGATTGTAAGGATGACATAGGTTAGGACATGTTCATATGGGTTGTTCATAGAGTCACTATGCATCTTATTAGACTCAAGACCCACCAACACTTACTTAAGGGAGCTTTGGGACCCTGAGGAAGCTCTGGTGGCCTAATGATTGCACTGCAATCCCAAAAGCAGTCTCCTCCTGTGTTGTTTATTATCTCTGAAAACCCACTGGACGTTCAGGTCTATGTCTGTTTTAACTTGATGGCAGTGAGTAATTCTAAAAATCACCTGTGCCCCTTTTTGGAATAGCTGAATCCGAATCTCCAGAAACTGTCCTGAAGATAAACATTTTAAAGGGAACTTCTTGGAACAGTAAAGTTTCTATAATGCTAAGTCCTCAGCATCCTTGGAGAACTCCAACTTTTCAGAACTCACTTAGTATCCCACTCACTGTTGCACCTAGGGAGAGGGATGATAGGGTGCCATATCATATAGGAGAGTCATGGACTTGAAGGCTAAGGAAGTTGGGTGTGGGGTCTAGAGTCACTAGCCAGACAATTCAGGGTTCAGGGGGTGCAGAAAGTAGCTAGCTCTATAGCCAGCTCCAGGACGCACTTTGGTGGTCTCTGTAACCTGAGCAGTTCAACAATATTTGTCAGCCCCTCTGGATGATGGCACTGTGCTAGACATAGAGAAAAAAAGCTTCAAATAAGGTGGTCATCTACTTCAGTGATAATTGGAGTGAGTGAAAAACACCTGAGAGTTAAAATGAGGAAAGAAGGGATCCCACAGCAGATGTGAATGCCAGGCAGCAAGGATGTAGAAAGCTCAGGCTCCCAGACTGAAGGATTCACCAGGCTAAGGAACACAGCTGTCATATGTACGTTTCCCCATTAAAGTCTTTGTTCACCCTGCCTGATGGTCACTTTGGGGAGCACACTTTGCGCTGCCCAAGGTCAAGCCATTCTGCAAAGCCCAGTCCCTTCTTCTCAAAATATCATCTCAATTTTTCAGTTATACCTGCAGATCCCAAATTCTTCCCAATAATTAAGAGATCTTAGAACAGACACCGCATGGTTACTCACCACACATTTATTGTACATTTTCACAATCTGGATGCGCCACAGAATTGGGGGCACAGGGCAGGGGAAGAGGGGGGCAGGGGACACTGGGATAATATGGGGGATCTAGAACACAGTGCCCCCAACCCCCAGCATCTCTCCCTACCCTTTTACACCACAGCTCAGCTGTCCCTGCTCCCCCTCCACAGAGAAAACTTCAAGTGCAGAAGGAAGAAAGAGCTTGGGGGTCGCCTCCAGTGGCAAGTTAAGGGACTGCATCCTCAGACCCTAAATTTGTGCCATTTAAAAAGACATTTGACCCTTCATCTACCATTTCCCTTAAGAAAGGGACAGCTCACTCTCTTTGAGCTCTACCACTTGGAGAGGGCAGACGATCCTCAACTTCCAACAAGTCCTATACAAACATTGGCAGTGACTAATACTCCCACCCTGAATTCAGGGGGGCAGTCAGAGAAGCTGGGCAGTGATGGGGACAATACCCACTGGCGGGTAAATTATCAGTCCTACCCCCCAGGAGGGGTGGGGCCAGAGGAGATTTCAGGCAGGAACTGAGGGGATTCTCTGCCCTGCCCCATGCCTCCCCAAGGCAGTGATAGCCCCCCCCCAACACTGGTAGCTACCCCTCCCAAAAGAGATCAGATTGTGGCCAACCTCCAACTCTCCTGGAGGGAGGAGGAGGTGAATCAGGAAGATGGGAAAGAGGGAGATCCCATGGGAATGTCAGTTGAGCTCCCCACATGAAAACTGGGGAGGAGGAATTGGGGAGAGACCCCAAGTGGCAGAATTATTGGTCCATCATAACACACTGAACTCCAAGACACTTACACACCAGCTGAGGGAGGGAGAAGAGGGAACAAGAGGTTTGGAAAATGGGAGTAAGGGAGGCAAAACTGGACTAGAGGGGCTAGGAGAAGGCAGTTCTAGGGAACAGAATAACCTGGTTCCCCTAAAAGCCCAGGCTCCCCACCACCTGCAAGTAATGTGCAAATGAAAAAGTTATACAAGGACTAAAGGAGACTCCTCTGTAAAAAAGAAACATGGCTTGAGAGTGATGAGGGGAAAAAAGAAAACAAACAACAAAAAAGATGGTATGCAAATGATATGCTAATCAACATACTGGAAGCTCCCAGAAGACCTTGGGATTCTCAGGACCAAGTGGGGAGAGTCACAGCGCCTCCCAATGGATGCAAACGAGATGCACCTATGGAGGCCTGGACAGCTGCTTTTTGCTTTGAGAGGAGGGTTAGGTGGGGTAAGGGTGAGTGAGTGGAGGGCCAGGGTAGGAGGAAGGAAGGATCAGCTAAATCGGAGGGAGGGAGAGGAAAGGAAGGACTATTGCATAGCAGATGCAAATGAAGGAATCTGGGGCTGGTCAGGAAGAGAGGGAAGGAAAGGCGAGAAAGAGAGGAGGTGATGGGATCCTCAGGAAGAGGTGTTAAGGACAACCGGAAATATCATCTAGTAATAAAACTACAAACAGACCAAATATATATATAATATATGTATAAATAACAGCTGGCTATTTACAAGGGGACACACACACGGACACACACACACACACACACACACACATGGATCAAGGGAGGGGGGCTGGAAGTTATGGCTGAGAGGTGGAGGAGCGGCTGGGGGTAGGGGGAGAGGCCCCTCTCTGGGCAGGGCGGCTCCTCAGGGGTTTAAGTGCTGAAGTAAACTGTGGAGAGAGAGTAAGGGAAGGAGGAAGACGGAGTAGGGGAAGAGAGAAAAAGAAAGAAAGCAGTAGGTCAGGCCTGGCCCTGCTCCCATCCTCCCCACATCCCAGCTGCTTGATGTCCCTTCCCCTCTCTGGGACCTAGTTCTCCATCTGTAAAAGCAAGTGGGCTAGACAGGAGAGTTCTGAGGTCACTTCAACTCAAAAGTATGGTCCTGGGGCCACAGACCTCTATTCTTCTGAGCCCACCAGCTCTCAAAGAGTGAGGGGATTACCTTCTAATGCTGAGTCCCCTGTTCTTCCCTGCTCTCCCACTCCCCAGTTCCGGGGTGCCCAGCTTGGGTTTTCAGGTCCAAAGAGTCTCACGGGACAGTGGAGCTCTACCAGCTCTCCTATTTCTAAAATTGTAATAAAAATTGTCCAGAGCCAGGCAAAGTGCAGGCTACACAACATCCAGTTTGGAAATCTGGATGAATCAGAATTGCCATTGGCAGCTATTTATCTTTTTTTGAAGGTTAATGACCTTCAAAACCCACAAGGGGAACTTCTCCAAAGAAAGGGCTCAGGACACCCCCTCCTCAACTCACCGATGATGATGATGAGGATGATGGCGCAAATCACTCCCAAGATGATCATCATCTAGGAGCAAGGGGGAAAGGGTACCATTGGTCCGTGAGACATATAGGATATTCCTACTTATCTATCAGTCCCCTGCCTGCCCTCCAGCTGCCCCTTCTCTTACCTTGAGGTTTTTCCACCAGTATTTGCGCTTGAGCTTGGCTGCACTTGTTTCAAACTGGGAGGCCCCTGCCTGGAGTGCATCTGCGCGGTCATCCAGCTCCGACAGTTTCTGGTCCCGCTCCAGGACTTTGTCCACATTCACCCTCATGATGTCCACAACCTGAGGGAGGGGCCCACCTCAACAAGGGCATTCCTCACACGCGAGCCCATTTTGCCACATACAGAACATGCACCCCAATGCTGTCAGGTTAACATGCCAGGACACAAATGGAACATGTCTGGGACACCCAAGGGGGACACATTAGAGGTGTGCTAGTAGCCAGAAGCCTCAGCTATCATAGCAGCTTCCTCTACTTATCAAGGCTCAGGTCCATCACCAGAACACAATTGCCCCTGGCTGACACACCCCAGAGCTCGTCCAGGGACACGCTGGCAAAGATAGGGCATGGTCATCTTTGTCCACAAACACATAAATGTTAACCACCTATGACCATCTCCACCCAATATGGTCTCCCACATCTGTTTGCCAACCCCTAGCACCTTCCACACTCACCTCGTCAACCTGGGCCTGGGTCTGCTGCAGCCTCCTGTTACTGGTGAGGTTTGGAGGGGGTGCAGGGGGGCCTCCCTCCCCAGCCGGGGCCGCAGGGGGGGCGGTGGCGCCGGTAGCAGACCTGAGGGGCAGGGGCGGATTAAGACTGGGGCCTGGGCGCTGGACCCGCAGCCCGGGCTCCGCCCAGCCGCCTGTCCATCCATCCATTCCTTCCTTCTCCTTCCCTGGAAGGAGGCCACCCGATGGGAGCCCTGAGCCCCACTGCCGAAAATCTGCGTGACCTTGAGCTGGGGCCCCTCCCCCTTCGGGCCTCAGTTTCCCCGCCCGTCAAATGAGGGTGACATAACAGACGCGGCCCAGGATCGACCTGACATGACTGGCGGCCGCGGTGACAGGGGACGGCGGGGCGGGCGGACACCCGGTCCGCTCCCTCTCGCGGCCATCGTCCGCGCGGGCCCGTCCAGGGTGCAGGTTCCCGGGGCGCCCGCGCACAGTCACGGGCCCGGATCAGGCTTCTGGGTGCAGGTGGCGTGGGGGGCGCGAGCAGAGCCCCGGGCACTCCCCGCTGCCCGTTCCCAAGGGCGGCGGGGCGGCGCGGGGATGCCCGGCGCGGGCGGCGGCCGGCCGACTCACATGGCGGAGGCGGCGGGCGGAGGACTTGACAGTGGCAGTGACGGCTGCGGTGGCGGCAGAGGCAGCGGCGGTGGCGGCAGAGGCAGAGGCAGCGGCTGCGGCGGCAGCGGCTCGCGCTAGCTCCAACTGGCGCTGGCTGCCCGGCACGGGAAGATGGCGGCCGCACGTCACCCACATCCGGGCACTGCGGGCGGGGGCGGGGCGCGGCGGGGCGGGGGTCGTGCCAGGCCCTGGTGCCCCCGTGCCTTCCACAGGGCTCTCGACCCCTCCCTAAACCTTAGTGCCGCGACTTTCCCCAAACCCGCAACATCCCACCCTTTCTTGACCACAGCCAAACTCCACCCCACCGCAGCGGGGCCCCACATGTCACCCTCAAACCACATCCTTCTCTTCTGTGAAACCTGTAGACCAGCCTCCACCCCACACAGTCCAAGGTCTCACGCTGCGCTCAGGTCCCAAGGCCTGGAGACCCACCCTAATTTCTCCAGCACTAGGAATGGGTGGGTGCGACCACATCGGGTGCTGGTCGCAGAGGCAATGCGGACAGCTGAGGGGTCAGCTGCTGAACTGGAGGTCCATGAGGGCGCTGGTTGCCACCCCACTACCCAGAAGATGGCTGTCCCAGGGGAGCCCTAAGTAGGAGGGAGCTAAAGAAATGCAAACAGGGCAGGCATTTCTCTTATGGCCAAGCCTGAGGAGAGGCTGCAGGGGGTGAGAGCTGAATGACCCTCCTCACAAGTAGGATTTCAGACCAGGTTTGCCAGGGAGGGGACGCCGGACTTGCCAGGCTGAGGGAGGAAGACGCTGGTGGCTGAAGCCGCCTTAAATCTAGCTCTGCTCCTATTTGGGTCAGCTACTTCTGCCAGGCCAAAGGAAGTCTCCTAAAGGGCAGATTTGTTTAAGGGGAAAGTGGGCAGTGGGCAGTGGGCAACGGGCCAGAGTGAGAGAGAAACCTGCAACGTCCAAGCTACTCAGTGTTACTCTATATGTGTATTTTAGCCTCAAAGACCATGGAGAATTCCTGCATTTTCATTGGACCCAAAATATATTTCACACGTAGACATACAATATATGTATTTGTTAAGTGGTTTAATCTGAATATAACACGGTAGGGAATTACCCTTTCATTTCTGACCGGCCTCTGTTCTACACAGATTCAGCAGCTGCAAACACTCCTACTACCCATCCATCCTTAGCAGGCCTGACATAGTGGCCATTGCATGTTCTGGATGTTGAAAATGGGACTGCCTCCTATCCTACCTCAAGAGTGAAGACGTTTTAGAGGAATTGGCAGCCATAGGGTAGGGACCCCACTGCATCAGGTCAGGTTAAGAGCTGCTTTGGTGACCTGCTATCTGAGACAAACTAAAGCTGGTTCTGTCCCTCCCCAGTCCAGGATTCCCAGAGCTTCTAAGGTGTGAGAACTTTGCGCACTGCAGCAACTTCCTTCCCAGGAGAAGCCTGGGGACCTGCTCTGTCACCAGAGTTGTCATTTCACAGCTGTTTGGGGAAGGTGAGTGAGGAGGAACATGCAGGATGTGAGGACTGAGCCAGATCCAAGATAAGATTCTCTGTGTCACTCTTCCACCAAGGAGCAGCCATGTCCCTGGTCCTTATGTGCTGACATAGGACATTTGGGCTGGCTCAGTCTATGTGGGAAAGAGACACTTCCATAGGGGCAGGGGTGTGTGGGGTTGTCCTCTGTTCTGTGGTTTCCCACCAGCTTGCTTTATAGCCCTGCAATCATTCTCCTTTCTAGCCAAAGAACAAAACTACTAAATTATGGCCTTTTAAGTTCAAAAGACTCAGTGTTAGTGTATCAGGGAAGGAAAGTTGGAAGGCAATGCAAACATACAGAGCCTCCCTGTATCCCAGTCTTCTATAGCTGAAGAGGCCAAGTTCAGAGGCAAGCAAGATGCTCTACAGTGATTCAGGGATGACACCTGTTTTCCCAGGATGTGGAAAGAAGAGCCCCAGATAAACCTGGGGAGCCAACATCATGGAACAGGATATAAAAAGTTGTCACCTTTTTATTGTTCACACGATTCTGTGATCTTGAAACAGAGTAGAAATGGGGGCGTGCATGATCTATGGAGGTGGGACCCTCCTTTCCAGTTATCACCCCAGCAGGGAAATTCTCCAAATTTAGATCTTTGGTGGAAACAAGGGATTAGGTGGGACAACTGAGATTATCTGAAAATGTTTTCTGCAGGTGACTAGAACTAGAAATCCAAAAGAGAGGTAAATCTAACTCTAGACAAATGAAGCCCTATGTTTGCATAACTAAGATTGCAGCTTCTACATTTTCCAGTTTCAGTGTTGCCTCCTTCTCAAGTCTGTCCTCACCCCCATTCAAAGGCTGTCAGAAGACAAACATCTCCGTGACTGATGTAGGCCACAGAAGACCACATTTTAAAAAGCGGGTTTTTAGTTGTTGTTTTTATTTTTTCCCCCTCTTCTAACAAAAACTGACTTAGAAGTTAGGCTGGAAAGGGCTTGATCATTCCCACACTGATTCATGAACTGGCCCCATCCACATGAGTCAAGCCTGACTGAACTAGTAATTAATTTGAGATCTCTCGCCTGTCAACCAGCTTGTAAAGAACAGGCCTTCTAATTAGGAGCAGAAGCAGCCTGCCCTTGGGACTGCTGGCCTGGGGGCCAGCCCCACCACCATGACCGTCAGTTGTTGAAACCAATGACCTCAAGCTGAGCCCCTACATGGCAGAATTGCTAGCCCTCGAGGGTTTCTCTGCCGGCTGTGATCTTTACAGAAGTAGATTGTCAGGTTTTTTTCTTCAGTGGAGCAACTGCTCCACCATTTATTCTGCTGTTGTCAAGTCGATCCTGACTCCTTACGTTGTTACCCTGTTGTTATTGTTAGTTGCTGCTGAGTTAGTTCTGATTTGTGGTGAGCCAGTTGTATGACAACCATTCCATAGAGTTCCAAGGCTGTAACCTTTTCTAGCAGAACACCAGGCATGCCTTTGGAGGCACCACCAAGTTTGCACCACAGATCTCTTGGCAGGTAGTCGTTTGCACTACACAGGGACGATATTATGTAAGGTGGGCTTTTTTACCCCCTTCCCAAGATACAGTCTCTGAGGATAATCATTATATTCTCCAAATTTAGTATTAGATTTTTTAAATAGGCAATAGTTATATTGCAAAATTAAAAAAATTAAAAAATCATGAACTCTTGTCCTGAGCTAGCCAGAACCCTTCACATCCCCTAACACTCCCCAGAGACCCCTGAATCCTCCAGGGGGAGGTAGTGCAGAGGAGAGTGGCTTTCTTTTCCTTTTGTAAAAACAAAAATGCTAACAGACTATACAAGTTGATTTGTAACTTTAAAAAAAGTGGGTTTGGGTTTTTTGTTTATTTAACAATTAGAGTTTCTTTTCTTGTGTTCACTTCTATCTCTGTCTCTTCCAGATTCTTTTGATCAATTTAAAAAAATATATTTGAAAGCTTTTCCTCTTTCATTTTAGATACTTGGCTCAAATACCTACTAATATATGTCATGGATTAAAGGGAGTCACCAAGAGAAGGGTTGGAAGATCTGTTGCAGGGCGGGGGTACTAGGGACATTTCTTGACTAAAATTGGATTTGCTAGAGGGCGGTGAAGCCCTTTCATGGGGAAACTACCCAAAGTCAGTACTGGTGGGCTTTCTCTGGGGCTATGCAGTATTCCTCCATTCTCCCATCATCTTCCCTTGAAGGGGCAGGAAGTAGAGCAGGGAAGGGTCTCCTGTTTCCAGCTCAGACCTTCACCGTGACCTCTGTTGCTCTTGATGTCCTAAAGGCCAAAGTCTCCTTGAAAATGAGCCAGGAGAAGGGTAACATGTGAGACAGGGATTGTTTTCTGTGAGGAAGCCCTGGGGTCTTTACATCTTGAACTCGGATTCCCAGCCATCCCCTGTATGTAGCCCTAACCTGGCGGGTAGGGTCTGAGACCACTTGGCTTGTTCAGCTTGTCGTTTCTTTTGCCCATTGTCCACCTGGAAACCTTGTTGAAGTTGGACCTTGCTTCCCCCCTGCTGCTTGCCCTCCAATCTCTCAACTGTGTAGACACAGGCCTCTTTATTTCCTGCCATTTAGTTTTGTAGGAAATTAAGACAAATGTTTTTGGTCAATCTTCCCAGTGTCTCCAGAAATAAACCACTGTTTAACTATTCTGGCAAAGATGAGCTTTTAAGTAATTTCCAATATCTTTCTGTTGAAAACAGTACTCTTATGAGCAATGTTGCAAATACCAGCTGGGGCCTAGGTCTTGCATACACACCTTGTGGAGTTAAGGGTTTATTCAAAGTGGCTTTCCTAGTCATTATTTGATTTTGCTATGTAGATAGGCGGGAATATGCAAATAGGGCATGCTAGCCTATCCACAAGGGGATTGGCTTATCTCATCACTCTATAAGGGGACTAACTAGACTCACCATCAAACTGAGCAGACCCAGCAGCAGAAGGAGAACCACCTTCCCCAGCCAGGGAAGAAGAAAAAGCAGCACGAGAATGCAACTTGTCCTTCAGGATCATAAAACAGCCATAGCAGAGAACCAGAGACCTGAACATGAGACAGAACAGACCTTGGGACTGCTGCCCTCACAGATAGAACCAGAGCTAAGCTAAGAGCCTTTGCCCAAGTTTGCTGAACAATTTGGGGATGAGGGAGAGCCAATATTGGCAGAACTGAGAACTTTGTAACACTGATCTAAAGCTGTGAGGCTCCAGACTGAGGTGCATGTGAGCACATTTCAGAAGCTGTCCTGACTGTATTCTGCTACTAACCTGGATTATAACCTTTTGACTTTCCCAACATGGTTCTGTGTGGTCTGTGAGCTATTACATCGGACCAAGCAAAGCAGTCAGAGTGATATGAGTAGAAAGAGGTGCAGCAGTGTGGGGAACATGTTTGACCTCATGGGAACTGGTTTTGTGATGTTGACGCTGTTGACAGGCACAGTTCCCTTTTGTGAAGTCAGTTAAGGTCAGATTTGGCCGTCCCCATGTGGCCCTTGCTCTTTTTACACACTGGATGTTACCTTTTTAATCTGTGTAGTTCTGCCTGCCTTAGAGCCAAGTACAGTGCCAGCAACAAGGCAGGGAAATGAATAATTAATGATGGTAAACTGAGATCTCGGTGAGGAGTGTTTTTAAAAAGAAAACAGTATAGCAGGCTAATGGTGGGATCTCAGGACCTTGTTTGGGTTTTGTCAGAACCTATGCACCCACTGGCCCTGTGAAGACACACTTGATTGGTGGATGAAGCATCCATCACTTACACCCACTTTGTCCAGAGATCCAGCTCTTGTCACTGCAGCAGGGCAGACCCTGTTTACTGGTGAGCAGGACAACATAGAT